GAAGCGAACTTACTGCACATTCAGATAAAAAAGTATTTACAACCACTTGTGAGAAAACAACGAAGTATATTAAGACGGATTTTACCTCGGAATTTGAAGATACTGGAATACCATGTTTCAGAAAGAAGACCTTGTGAATCAACAAAATCCGTTCGTAATAAACAAACTCTGTGCTTCCTTGCTCAACAACGTCAAAATTAAAAATTCTCAAGCAAACACGTCCGTTTCACAAAAAACAACTGCATACCAAAGTTGACTTGTGATTCATACAACAAGAGTCCCAAATGATCAAACTAAAAACTGTAAGAAATAACACTGTATGGTAACACTGAGCTGTTTGGCTGGTTTTGTTGTCATTTGCACACTGCATGTAAGGGGGATAAAAATATTCCATGAAACTAAGACGGGGGTAATATTTGCATATTGAGTAATCCACAGGATTTCCAGAAATTGTTCAAAAGTCCGGAAACAATCTGCCGGATGGTTTCCGTATTATATACCGAGCACGGGGATCAACTGCACGAACAAAAGTCGATCCGGTGGTTTGCCCAACAGTTTGTTTGTTCAAGTTTCGCTGAAATAGTCTAAAGAATGTAGATGAATTTTGAACAACCAGTGGAAGAACAAAGGTGTCGGAAAGATAAGATTGATTCGTGCAATTTGACATGAATGGTCTAGTCGGAAGATTTGAACGCGCTAGTTTACAAATAAGAACTACCTGAAAATTTGACAGAACTGACGTACAAACTTGGCATACGGCGTCCAAGCACGACATCCGGCGTCCAAGCACGACACCCGGCGTACAAACAGGGGAAGATCCAGTTTACGGCGCGCATATTTTGTTCACCGAATTTAAAAAGAATATCCCACGGACAAACAATGACCTTTTACACAAACTATTCCATCTTTCACAAGACTTTATCAAGCTTGATTTCTTATATAAAGCCAGATTTAAATCTTCCCAAAATAAGATTTGATCACAAAGAGATTAGTAAGTGATAAAGATGAACGGAAATATCGATGCAATGCAAAGCCAAATTTGCTTTCTTCTGTGAGAAAAAGAGAGATTATGAGAACGAATTTAATATTCTCTGTGATCCCCAAAGAGTAAAGTTTCAGAGACTCAGACAGTCAGAGATATCATGTTAGCATAATTGAATAAAAACATCTATGAGTCCTTTCTATGAAGTCAATGTGACAGTGGTACCAATAAACAAGATTGGGTAACTCTCCACTATCTACATCTTTATCTACATGGTTGCTTTATTGGTGAATAGTCAAATTTGTCAGCAAATTAAGGCTGTCTCACTCGTTTTGTTGGCAAATGAGGCCTGAACACCAGCCTAGAGCGAAAAAGCTAGCAATCGCACTGCTTACACCCTATTAGATTAAGAACAAATTAAGAACAATCCAGCCTGAACTTAAATTTACTGGTTCTTATAAAAAAAGAGTGTAAGATGCTAGAAGACATATATCACCTGCTATAACAGTAAGAGACAAAAGTGTAGTAGTAAGTGAATAAATCCCTTATAGGTAAAGTTCAGATTTATAGACGAGTCAATGATCAGGCTTTTTAGCCAATACCCATTCTCAACGAATTTCAACGAAGCTATCTTGTGACCCGATAATTCTTTTTGCAAAAGAGAACAACAGTATTGGATGACACAGTTTGGGTTGGACTTCCACCAACTAAAGTTCAGACGCTACCCCCGTCTTGCTTTGAATCACCGACACATTGAGCTGGGTGTGACTGTTACACTAGACGAATCACAATACAATTCGGCAAGTTAGAAAATGAATGAAAGTAAAGAATTAGAAAAGAAAGCTCCAATCCCATTGACAGACGATCTGAAAATCCTAGAGAAAGCTGTTTTAGATATAGTTTGAAAAAGCAGTTGCAGCAATCAAAACCATAGCTCCAAAGACCTAGCTTTTTTAGACTTTTCAAATAAACACAAAGTCATAATCAAGCATTCATACATAAACTAAGCAAAAAATTTATAGTCGGACATAAAATTTACATTCATATAAGCAACAACCTCTCGTGGCGACACGAGTCTTTGCAGACGTCTTTGACCAAGGTTTTTGCCATACTCACAACTACAGGGCCATTGCAACAAATTTTAATTATTATTTGGTCTGAGAAAAGAGCTGCCCCCTCACTCCTCGGCACCTTGCTTTTGACGGTCCTGAAACCAGGTTGCTTTTGACGCTCCTGCAACCAGATGCATATTCATTTCCTTCGAGCAAAACATTCGACAACGTCAAAAACTACCTGGAAGGTACAAACCAAGTATTTTTACAAACAAAGCATCGGTGACGCAAGGTATAACAGCTATTCATGAAGAATTGACCCTTTCTCTGAGAAATGCCTCTAGCAATATGACCTCTTTGTCAGACACAAAGCGGCTTGAGCACTGTTGGAAAGCTGTTCCATTTCAGTCAATCCCACATGGAACCAATTTCGATTCAAAACCACAATTCACTCGATGTGGCTTTCTTCCTAGATTGACTCAGTCTTCCAGTCAAGATGTTTTTCAAGATTTCTAAGAATAGAGAACTGACCCTCCTTTAGGCTGAAGAGCGGATGCCTCAATAAGGTCACTGATCTTGTCGATATATCGTACTTAATACCGAGAAACGTACACGGTTGTCAGCAAGATTCTCGTAGATCTGACTGCCTATAGGCAAGATTGGATATCAACTTTGCAAAATAGAGTGGTAGACAAACGATAGATTAGGTGATGGTGAAGCTTTTAAAGTGGATCGACCATGGCGATGATTGATGATTATCATGATGACTGATGATTGATAAGGATGATTAATGATGGCGATTATTGACAATCAATCACGACTGACAATGATAATGGTTGGCAATGATAATCCATGACGATTAATGACGATTAATGACGATTAACGATGATTGATAATGATGACTGTGATTAATACTGATTACTCTTTATACGAACAAGGTAATTTTGCTAAGGCTGGAAGCGCTTAATTATTTGGATAATTTGAGGCTCATATAATCTTAGTATTGTATTTACTTGACACAGATTTTTCAAAAACTATAAACTCTAAAATGTTGCTATGACCACCAAATAACAGTTTCGCGTGACACTTTAGGTAGCATCGTTTTATCAGCTGACAAAAGCAGCTCTGTTTTTTTACACGGGGTAAAATCTTCAAAAACACATTGTTTTGTTCAGGTATTGTGCTGAGGCTGGATATGTTTTTACGCTATTATCTCTTTTGGAAAATCGAGTATTGATGTTATTTGCAAACAAAAATTATGAAGAGTGAATGAAGATTAATAATAATTATAAAAATGAAGTTGACTGGTTATAATAATCGATAATAATTACCATTGTTGTAAAATATTATAAGTAAGACTCATTCATTACACATAACAATACACTCATTCATTCAACTTTAAACACCATCCAGGAATCTCAGTCAATTGCTACGTACACTCTACACACAACAAGCACCTTTATTAACAAACAATGTGCACGTTTGAAGAGCTGCTGAGTTCAATTGTGAATACTCTCCCCTGAATTCGAAGTGAACTAGGCGGGGGTCCTTAATTCTGGGAACGACCTCGGTCACCCATACCAGCTTCTTCACGAAAAAGTTGTTTATTTTGTAAACATTCACATAGGCCTATATCATAAGGAGTTCCAAGTCGAAAATTGTTCTCAAGCATTAACTTCAATAGAACTCCAAATTTTCGTTATATTTACACGCTTCCACCAAGAAGAAACGCAGCGATAATTATCTCATGATTTCCACAACTGTCCCTCCAGTCCTTTTGCATTTAAACTACAATATTTTAGGAAATTTACCAAGCAGAAGATTGTTATCATAACAGAGACACGCGTCCAAAACAGACGTATTTTGAATTCGCAAACTAACTCACCCCATTGTTCCTCGATCTTCTAACGCTCTCCTAGAATAAGAAATTTCTTTCAAAGAATATTGTCCTTTTCTTAAACGCAAAAAAAGCAGAAACGACTGCAGATTTTCTTCAAATATCAAAATTATAGAAACAACGTTTCCAAAAATTAGATAGCAAAAAGAACCACAACAAAAATAATTTGTGAAAAAATATACCATAGACTGAGAAATCTCACATTATTACAGGCACTTGAATACAGAATCTGACTAACTATTAGATTTTGAAGCTAATGAAAATGAATTCTACCATCTGAGACTTTCTCAGTACTGATGATTCTACCATCAAAATTCAAGTAGCTTCAAAAACAAACTCAGTTAGAGCGTAGGAAAAATCGTTTTGGTTATAGCCTTACAATATTGGACAGACAAACATTGTATATGGACAAAGTTATGTCCAGATTTATGCCACAAGATGGGGCCATTCTATATATTGCATTGTGTGTCCATAGCAGGGGCAGATCTAGAGCAAATTTGAAGTAGGGGCAGTTGGTAGTGGGGGCGCTAAAAAAATTGCAAAAATTGGTGACGAGGGTTCGCTGTATACAACAATTTCAGATCCATTTTCGGAATAAACAACATAACTTTGAGGTAATCCTTGAAGAGAATTAACCTATCGGTCTCAGAAACTTTTTCACCTGATTCTCATTCTTCAAAAGGGGCGCACAATTTCCAAAAAAGGGACACCAGACTTGCTTCAACTCGTTGAGGGAGGAGCAACTGCCCCTAGTTGCCCCCCCTTGAATCCGCCACTGGTTCATAGTGTAAGGCTATCTCTTGTTATTCAGTCTTTTCAAATCAATTTCTGAACTCCTCCAATTACGATGTTCAACAAATTCAGCTCTAATTCATTCACATAATTTCTTAACATTTGAGCCACCATGTTTTCAAAAGTTACAATAAAAAATGTATATACATGAAAAATGGAGCGATACTTTATAAACAAACTCTTATAAAAATAGGCATGATGTAAACTTACAAATAGGAGTCAACCAAAGCGGCGGAATTTCTGCTCTCGTTATCACTGTCTACTTCACTTCCTCCGTGTGCTCTCCATACGAAAGAATCGTCCGTATCACTAAAACAGCGATAGAAGGGCTATTAACATGATAACAAAGCGAGTCATGAAACTGCTGGAGATTCACAACGCTAAACGAAAAGATAGAAGGGTTATAAATTCTACAACAGACCGAGTCATGAAGCTGCAGGAGATTCATCACGCTAGGCCACCGCTTGTTGGAAAAACAAACAACAAACCAGTCTAATTCTTCGAAAAATCTTAATATTTCCTGGCTTAATCCTAATAATTCACTAAAGTTATTAAATGAGTTTATTTCTTAAGAGTCAGAAATCTTATTGATTAAATGAAAACTTAAAGTTAATTGCTTATGATTGGTGTTAAAAGCTTGGAATAGAATGGAAACTGCAATAAATAATCCCCAGATCCATAGAAAAAACTTAAGTGCAAATATAAATATTTGATGATATACAGAGATGTAAAGAGCTGTTTATCATATTTCACTAAAATAAGACAATACCAGATCTTAACAGCCTCAGCCTGTTTTGCAAAACCCGAATGTCTGTTCGTTGGATTGAGGTGTCGGTTGGATTGAGGTGTCCGTTGTCCGAGAAAGGAGGCTAAAAGACTTTGCCAATAAACTGAATATTTGAAAATGATCGTGATAAGGAGGTGTCCGTTATAAGGAGGTGTCTGCTAATACTAGGTCGGCTATTACTAGGTGTCCGATATTGGTAACTATCCGATATTAGTAACTGCCCGATATTAGCAGGTGTCCAATAGAGATAGGTGTCCGATATAAGGATGTATCCAGTATAGGAATTTAGTGATAACACTTCTTAGTTTGTCGATGTATTAACACTTCACTGTACAAACACTGCCTGAAGCCAAGCTTGTATATGATTAAAATTAATACAATAAAATAACGACTGTGTACAAGAATGAAATATAAGTACGACGTCTCGCGCATCACTCTTCGTCTTAATTTTTGCTAACTACTTGACGTACAACACGCTCAACTCCATTGATTATATATCCCACTAATGTTAACTAGTTTTCTCCAACCTCCAAGATGAAGTGGAACAGGGAGCTTTATCAAGTAAAAACTGAGGTATCATGAAGGGACGGAAACCTATGATAGATAATAAGCAACATGCTTTCTCAATCCCTTCATTTTCTTTTTTCTTTTCGATAACATCCATTTAACAAAATAAAACACAAACAATTTCCCGGCTTTTCTATACAAAATCGTCAAAGATATTTTCATTAACTTGTTAAAGGTCTATTATCTTCAAAAAGTTCGGGGTATGGGATTCAGGTGTCTCCCGGTTCCAACCCCCTTCGAACACTTGTGAATGAGAATTCGCAGTAATAAATTTTTATGGAGCAGTTTTCTTTCACAAAGACTTCTAGTCTATTTTAATGCAAAGGATTAGCAAACTTCAACGTATTTCGTAGATGGATAGGGGCAAATTGATGCTAGAAATAATTCTTTTACGTTCCGTTCGAAATGGTGAGAGCGAGAATCCCTTTTGTCGAGAGTCCTAAGATTAAGTATCGATTTTTCTGTATGGGAAAGCAAGCGGCTTATATATGAGCAAACGCATGATTAAATAACATATTTATAAACATGTGGTTAATACCATGGAAAAAAGAAACAAAACATAGCCATCCCCGAAGCAACGCTAAACAGAGATAAAATTGGGAATGGATATATAGATGACATCTGAACCGTCATTGTGGTAATATATGGATTGCCTTTACAGACGAGGAGCTGTGCAAACTATTTGCCAAGTTCAAACAAGGACAAAATAAAAGCAGGTTTAGCCCTTTAGTGAAAACAACAGCTCTAAATCCTATGTCTATATTTCATGCATCTCCAAACCCCTCATGTTTCTTTTGGAATTTCGCATCCTTGTTCGTGTACTTTCTATCCTGTAGATTTCACTTCTGGCCTGGGCATGTTATAGTTTGGTAGCAAAGAAAGGGGCGAGTAGAAAAGAATTAACCCAAATTGCTTGTCCTTTTGGACTCCAGCACCAAGAAGGGACTCGTAGAAATGATTCAGCCCTCGCTGCAAGCAAATGTCCAGTCAGTGGGTGTAAAGGGTGCCTATGATCCCCCTATTGGAATCAAAAGCCGGATATCCTGAAATTATGAAATGTCACTGACATTTTCAACAAAATATTCACTTATCTCTTTCCATTCACGTATCAATTTATCAAATGACACGCCGCCTGGAAATGGGTGTTGAACTCAGCCCCAATTTCCCCCAGCTCAACAGAAAGTCACCAGTTTTCAATCACTGATCTTCGAGACCTCACCACTACATATTTGACTCTTTTAGAGGAAACTGTCACTAATCTTTTTCTTCCAAGCATTGGATTTTTCTGATTCAAGGCAGTGATGTCAAGCTTTTAGTAGCTGCAAATTTTTCAATCGTAAGATGCTTTCAAAAAACCGTCTGCACCTCCAACCAACCTCCAAAATAAACCTAACCAAATTGTCAACTCAAAAAGTGTGCACATTAAACCTGAGTTAATTGTAGAAAATTGGTTCCCTTAAATTCGATCTGAAAAAACAGGAGGGGCAGAGGCAAAAAATTTCATTAACCCACTTGTCAATAAAACATCGATGCGATTAAAAAAATTTATTTAAATCGCCTTGTTACCAAATGAGGGAAAATTCGCTTGCGGACCATCAAAAGACTTTACTCTCGATGCTCAATATGAGCAATAATATTCCGTTTGAAAGCCTCTTTGTAAACTTCTGTCTGTAAACGGAAATTCTTAACAACATCAAGTGAATAATTTGTCCTTTAAAATAAGTTTATCACAGATTGTAGGTAATTTTCTTTTCGAACCCGAAATTGGTTTGGTGAATAAAATACGAAGCGTAAGTTCAACGGGCTTGCATCCAGGGTGTGCTCATGCCATAAAACAAAAACAATGAACGCCGTTTGTCTAGGCCAGCCAAATAGTCGTCGGACGGTCCACACAAAAACCACAAAATCAGTCACCCTTACCTCTATCAAATCTGATTCCAACATCCTTTACAGCAGGTGAAAGCATCAGCTAACATATAAAACGATTTCCCAAAATCCCGGCACTAAACTTCATAAGAATTTAAAACTTCAGCTCCAAAAGTACGCTCTGGCAGGGAAACATATACATCTTCCAAACAAAGATGTCTGACTCAAACGATAACGTACGCACTGTAATCCTATTTCAAAAGTCACACAAAAAGAGCTTTGTTTAAAATATAATACCGCACACAAAGAATATTCTCAAATCTTTTATTTCATAGTAAACATGAGGATTGTTTCCTCCCAATTCACTTCAGCGATAATTATTTCTCTGTTGATGAGGAAAACAAGCTTTGGAAACAGAATTAAATAGGATCATGTCGGCGATGGGAGATCAGGTCGTAGGAACACCCTCGGGCGGGGAGGCACATGTTCTTATAAACACATCCAGTGTGTTAACGAACAAGGCAGCTGTAAAAGACCGATAGCAGCCTATAGCAATGGGCATGTTAGAAGCATCAAATGCAATTTATATGGCCCCAACAATAAGTATTGACAGGGAACTTATAAGATACAAGTTTTGTGCAATCTGGACATCAATGTTATGGTTCAGATAAAAGGCGAGTACACACCCTCATTATGTGGTCACTAATCGTAAGAATCCTGCAACCACATTTCCTGGGCCAAAGGTGACTCTAGTTATTGTGAGAAAGTAAATAAAACGCGACTCTCCCACCTTTGTTTGATTGGTTGCTATGGTGATAACGAGTAGTAGTAGCTCCGGGGGAAGATGTGGAGGCAATTTTTTTTGGGGGGGGGGGACAAAATTAAGGACAAAGATGGCGAAATTTCCTAGAAAATTTTGACCTCCAAGCGGCAATAGCCACCCCTCTAGAAACGCACCCCAGGATATCTTTTCAAGCTGTCTCCATGCAGTACCCCCAAAATATATTGGAATGGGGGAGGGGAGGGGGGAGAGGTGAAGAAACAGTCTGCATTATTGGTAAAACAACACTAAAATGCATTATTAGTAACTTAACGTCAAAGTTATATTTTAAAAGATGGGGCCTATTGGGTTGTCGGGTGTTACTCAAAAACATTTACAACCTGATTTAACCTCAGAAAATTCACCTGCAAAAAAACTGAGCCATCACTACGCAATTCAACGAGTCAACAAACATCAAATACAATAACACTTATTGGCCAAAGATATAGGCGCTAATTACACCGCCATTATCCCATTAAAAAGGTTCGTGTCTCATACAGAGGCGGTGATGTATTCCGGTGACCCGAAATCTCTCCTTTCAGGCAACTTTGAAAATCTCATAAGTTTTGTTACAGGTCATTACTTGAGTTTCGGAGGAAAATGGTGTATCAAATTGCAAGAGGAGCAGGAAAGAAGCGGCGGCACCAACGGATGAGGGGACCAGGGGGACCCCCCCCCCCCTCTTAAAGTTTTCAAAAGGACGATTTTGTAGTTCGCCCAGATTCGATGAGAAATTGTTAGGGGGAGGTGTTAATGACGAATTCTTTGTGATGTAATTCTATGATTTTTAAACTGCCTTTATGTAACCGTAAAAGTTAGTCATGGGCATTTCCTAAGGTAAAATTAGCGTTCCATGTTGGGAAAAAGACGTTTTCTGACAGTAAAAAAAGGGCGAGGCTTGCAGGGAGGTTGTGCTACTAGAAGAGGACCAGTGTAAGAGAGGAGATTTTCGACGAGTCTTAATGATCAATCTTGGCTATTTGGTAGTCGTCGGAAGTGACTAAGAAGTATTTTGCATTCAAATTCCAGCGAAAAAAACGCAAGGCCTAACACAGAGCCGGTCTTTAGCAGACAATGTCCTGACTCCAAAGTAAACTGAGGTTACTTGAAATAGGAAACCAAAAACAATTAGAACATAAAACCAAGTGGAATAATCAATCCTTTTAAAGTACAAGGGCGTCACTGAAACAAGAGGGTTTATTTTTAGAAACCTACTCACCTTACACTAGAAACACTCGCAGCATCTGAACTTTTCTTCACCTGTAAACAGAATCATTCAGTTGCTTTAAGTTTTTTCTAAATGAATGAATGTAAAATAGACATCCAATATTGAACGTTTGAAGCAATACAAAAATAGTTTCACAGTTTTTACTAAATTTATAGGGCTAAATACAGCGCAAAAATGAATGCTGCCTCAGATTCTCGTGACTTTTAGGTTAACATAAATATTACGAGTAGACATGAAATTAAGGTTTAAAGAGAATCAACGAGGTAACTCCAGATCCATAAAGAAGCAAAAGTGATAAAATATATTTCAGAACTTTGAAATTCGCCCACAAGAGTAGGGAGAGCAGTGTAAGAAAATGTTTTTTGTGCAAAATCGTTTGTATCTGTTAAAGAATTCCTGAGAAATGGTTGGTAAAGATCAGCGTTTTGCTAATGAATATTTTTGCTCTAGGATGGTTCAAAAATGTTAGAACCAGGGCCAAAAAACAGTGGTTTGATGATGAAAGATGTTGTGCTTATATTGCTATAGCTCTGAAAATCTTATACAGATCTGACTGATTTTGCACATTTAGAGGTATTTCATGGTGTTCCTAAAGGTCATGTGTCCAGGAATAGCTTTGCTACTTTACAGGTGACTATTCATAGCAAAACAGTTCTCTGTTCCCAGGCATTTCGTACAGATATGTACTGATATATAGCCCAATGAAATGCAAATTAACTGGTACTCGAATTGTTTACAAAATATGAACACTTTCACCTAACAAAAAAAACAAAACCAATGCTTTAATCACTTAAATCTTTGATGTCTTATTAGATTTGATATGGGGTTTTTTGCTGGCACACTACTCATTGTCCTAAGAAAAGGCATCAGGCTTATGCCAAAATTATAAAATATACATATCTGCATTATGTAATGGTCATTGCAGAACATATTTGGAATCACCAATGCATGAAAAAACTCAAATAACATTCTATTCAGAAATATGATTTTTAGGGTTTTACTGTAGCTAGACGGTTGACTGCATCTATACTAAAAAAATGTGGGTGTGGATTTTTGGGAGAAAAAATGTGGTTAGAAAAAATAAAAACAAAAATAAAAGGGCAAAAATTTGACTTTGATACCTGCTGAAAATATCTCAATTCTGAAAAAAATCCAGAAATCGTCGAATCTTATTTTTGGGGTTTAAAAACTTTAGATATTCCCCACTGATCATTCTTTGGTAAAAGGGATAGATACATTCCAAGCTTTTAAAGAAAAACTTGCTTAAGCTATAAAGAGACCTTACTCATTATTTTGCAAGTTTTGCAAATGAAGAAAACAAATGATTAACATGCAAGTTTCTTAATTAACATGCCATCAACATTAAGAAACTGAGCTTTTTCTCAGTCACTGATGAAGCAGGTGAGTGCAAATGAATCAATATTTCAAAGTCTGAGACATCTTTTGATAAACTTGCTTTGATAAGGCAGCAAAACTACAGGTGTTCCTTGCTGCCTTTGCACTGAATAGACCGTTAGTGGGATCTGACAAGCTCTCAGTTTACCACAAGTTTAATCAAAGCCACAAGTCCAAGGAAAGCAATTATTTTTTGGGAGAAATCTTCAAATTATCAAAGGATATAATAAATCTCAGACAGAATGTTTAAAATAATAGAATTTCTTAAGCTCAGACAAATAAATCCTATCCATAACTGATTTAAACTGTGGAATGACAAAACAAAAATCCTACATGATATCCCAAAATAAAATTAATTGCCTTTATTTTAGCTTTCAAAGTTCCAGAAAATATAATTATGAAACCAAAAGAAAAAGTCATAGGATTGATTTATCCGCTAAATTAAACAGATTGATTTTTGCTAAAAATTGCTTGGGACAGAAATATCTTAGTAGAGAAGACAAACTACAACATTGTAACTTCTTTGTTTCCCTCTTGTCTTGATAAGCCTTGCCCTTTAGCTACCAGGTTTAAAACAGGCATCAATTGATTACAACCCCTTTACAATTTCCTTTTTTGTATTAAAGCACCCAATTATGTTTGAAAAATATTCTGTGTTTCAAATAAGCCTTCCTAAACAAGGTCAATTTCCAAATCAGTTCCTTCCCCTCCCCCACCTCCTAACTGGAATGAGCTCTTTTGTTCTGAATAGCAAGTCTTTAGTACCAAGATTTTAATAATCCCAGGGCCTATTTAAATTATTTCTATATCGTAGAGATATTGCCTTGGGTTTGTGTTTTGAAAAAATTAAAAACCTGAAGGGTTTTTTTCTAAACTGTGCTCAACATAGTGTGAAGCTATTTGTGAGAATGGATGCAATGAATCAGCTGAGATAAAAAAAGGTTAATGAAATTACTGTACTGTTTTTCAACTAATCTGAAAAAAAAATCATAAATGTAGGTACCATAAAGCATAAACAGTGTTTCCTTGGGTGCTTTGTGATTATAAGTGGACAATGAAAAATGACAGTTTGCATAGCTGCTTTTGTTATAAGTTGAAACTTCAGGAAATGTCAAACATCTTTTTGTGTTCATCATTCTGAACAAACACCAATTGTTTCTACATAGAACATGTTTGCTTTCAAAAGTACAATTGATATATCAGGTAAAAAATGTGAAGATGTGGTGAGAGTTTTCACACAAGGCAACTCATTAGCTGTTCTCAGAACTGTTGTTACAAATGTTTAAGGGTAATGGCAGAATAAAGAATGAAACAAGAAAATGGTTAGAATTCACACAATCTGGGTTTTCCAGTAAATGCTGCCCGATAGCAGAATTGCAGGTTTTAGTTGTAATTTTAGATTTACAAGACCGAGGTGGTTGTTCTCTTTGGGGTTGAGTTTTGTTTCTAATACTAGACGAAACATATTGTTTTATTCTACCCTCTAATTTTTGGGTAGTGCGTCCTACGTAGCCAGAATCACACTGGCACGTAAATTCATAAACAACGGAACTTTTTTGTGTGGCAGGAATGCAGTCCTTTTGAATGGACGGAAGGGCCTTTTTTGTACTATAAACAATACATGGTTAGAATTTAACAATGATACCAAAATTTAGAAATAATGAAAAATATTTGGTGGTACCTATAACAATACAATCTTATCAATAATTAGATGTTTAAATTAACTTTAGGTCAAGTTGTAGAAGGTCTCTTGGCATTTTTAGCTTCTAAATCTGGAGTTAATTCAATAGCTTATTTTGGTCTGGCAATCTGGGGATGAAAGTATATGAATCATGACCTCTAACAGCAAAATATGTCACAGGAGAACACCTTAATTACACTATTGACGTATAATTTTGCTGAGAATAGAAAATCAATGTTAATTATTTTCCAGCTATTTTAGAGCCAATTAGATTATCAATATTTTTGAGCTTCAAATATCTCATTTAAACATAATTATGATATTGTTTCAAAACCTGTTGAGATCTGCAAGACATCTCTGGACAGTTCAGGGACAATGACCCCTTTTTTATTTGATGTTGTCCTCCTTAAGAAATTTTTTACTTGCAAATTCCTGTTAAGTTAGTTAGTTTTGTTACTAAGTTATCATCATGTAGTTTGTAGTTTATTTGCCAGTTGAATTTGTGTGCTAAGGAATTTTTAAAATGACTTGTAAAATTTTCACTTACCATCTCTCCAAAATGGCTTACCAACATAAACAAAAAAAGTGTACTTTGTTTAATTTATCATTTACCTTTAATTTAATATTGATGGTGTCAAAAACTAACAATACCTAGACTGACAAATGAGAATTGTCTATTGTCTCATTGCCAGAAGGGAAGTTGGGACAGCTTTTAGCAGAAACAATCGACTCTTTTATGGCATCATGT